AAGGCGGCGGCGGCGGCGGCGATGGGTGGAGTTCCGTCGAGCGGTATGCAGCAGCCGGGCGGAGGCATTTCGAGCGGGCGGTTTGGTTCGAATAATTTGCCCGTTGCTATGTCGCAGGTTTTGTTTATATCCGTGTCTTGATTAGTCCTTGTGATTGATTCTTAATGTTATCAGCGAGGCGATTTGATGTGTTAGAGACCTAAGTGAAGGAACACAATCATATGTAAACCTACAATTGACTCATTTACTGGATATAGGACTGAATGGATCCTAATATACCATGTGGGCTGGTTTTGGTTTTACACTATAGATAGATTGAGCTCTGCAATCCCGATGTTACCCATTTAGCTTTTTGATAGAATAGTCTCGGGCAAACACTGCAAAAACGGTGTCACCTCCTATGTTGTTTGTTTGCAACTGCGAAGCATGGAGTTGGCTCTAATGGTATTTTGTTAAAGACGTAGGAGGACTCGCCTAAAAAGTTAGCTGTCAGAGGGAGGGAATTTAAACAGCTACAAATCCATAGGCTGACTCTCTATTCTGGTGATTTCGGGATAAATGGACCCTAACATTATGTAAATGTGTAAAACAATCATTTGCTTTGCCAGTAATTATTGAATTTGGCCCTTTGCCTTTGTCCATGCCTTAAGAATTGAATATAACATCATATATATAGGGAGACCTTTTCTTGGTTGCACAGAGCCTAAAATGCATAAGTAGTAAGATTGTTTTTCTACTCATCCATGGTGTTGTCTTCGAGAAGCATCAAGCCCCTGTTTGTTCTATACTTTGCTAGGAATTTAATGTGCTGAATATCAAGGGTTGACGTCATGTTTACAAACGATTGTATATTTATCAAATTGTTTCATCAAACCATGTGAGTGATACTTTTAACTCAATTTGACGGGTATGGGTTTTAGATGACGTCAACGATCTTGAACTTAATATTACAAAGAGTGATGCTTTCTAATATCACACATGCTATCCACTTAAAATTCTTTTTGAAAAGTCCAAGTTGTTCTTTAACAATCTGGTTTCTTCTTCTATCTTTTATTTTGTCTTAGCTATCACATGGAAGTGCACATGGACATTCTGGGATCACCAACAGAGGGGGTATTAATGTCTTAGGAAACACTGCTTTTAGTAGCAGCATGAATGGTGTTGGGGGTTCATTACCTGGGATTTCATCAAACTCTGTTACTGCTGGCAACCGCAACTCTGTTCCTGGTTTGGGAGCATCTCCTGTTTTAGGAGGACCTAGAATAACAAACTCAATGGGTAGCATTGTTGGTGGAGGGAACATTGGGAGAAGTATTAGCTCTGGAGGACTATCTGTACCTGGCCTTGCATCACGTGTAAATTTGGCCACTAACAGTGGGTCAGGAAGTCTTAATCTACAGGGACCTAACAGGTTGATGGGTGGCATGCTTCAGCAAGGTAATGGTCTTAACCTCCTTAGATATGTCTGACATGATGTAAAAACAGAGATCCTTGTGACATCATGTACACAATAGAAGTGTTCTTTTCAGCCTATATGGCTATATCTCTTACATGTTTTATTATGTTATGCTACATATTTTATGATGCCACTAAAATTAGCACTTACAATTTGGAATGACTCCATTTAGTACCTCAATTGTTCTATTTCTTCTTTTATTCACTAGAAGAAATCAGGAATACTCACTTATCTTAGGAATCAATAGTTACATTGATCATCTGATGTTGATGCTATTAACTTTTTTATCTGTCTGCTTTTCATTCTTTGTTTAGCCAGTATTGAAAGTTAATTTCGTACCTTCCACACTTTCATTGTTTCTAACCGATAACTGTGTTGTGCCTTTTATTACTATTTATTTTGTGTGCTGGTCTTTGCATTTATACATCTTTTGCTAATGACCCTGAATTTTTTTGAACTCCTAATGAATTGTAACTAGTATTTTCATGCACATGAAGGCTATTAACACATTTATATTATTTTGACATTTATTTTTGTTGTCTGATCTTCACTATCTAGTTGTGCCTCTGACACTTCTTTTTTAATGCTTGTGAATATTGTCTATGCCTTTAGGATTTTGGCTTTGATAATAAAAAATATTGTCTGCAGATTGTATATATCTCATAAAATGACGATTTGGAGGCCATGATACCTAAATCGAGAGTATGGAATCTATTAATAAAAAGTGTGAAGAGAAAAACCATTATTCTAGGGAAAACCTAAGACATGTTGGATCTGTGTGCACATTTGGCACTGGTAGTGTTGAAATTATTAGGTCCTTCCTAGTTGTTTATGATTTTTCTCTCCCATTTTTATGATTTTTCTGCAATATTTAAATTCTGACTGAGATCACCATTCCTTTAAAGATATGTTGGGTCTACTGTGTAGATAATATAGAGAGAAAGGGAGCCTTATGGCAGCTGGTCTATCTGCATCTCACTGCATGCAATATGTAAACTTATCATCTAAAATTTCATGTTTTTTGTTTGCAATTTACTAAACGAAAACATTATGGAATTTAATATTTTTATGAAGTTTTAATATCTGAATGTTCTTGTTATATGTATTTCCTTTTCACCCAGATATATGCCTTTACTTTAAACCTTTCATGTATTGAGTTCATACAGTAATGCTTTCAATCAGTTATTTATTTACAAGAAAAAATGGTCAGTTCATTATTTAATTGTAATAATGGCATGCATCTTGCATTTGCTACTAACTGATCCTTGTATGAACTAGCAGCACCTCAAATGCTTAATATGCTCGGAAATACTTATCCTACATCTGGAGGACCTTTATCTCAAAATCAAGTACAAACAGGAAATAGCGCATTAAGTTCTATGGGGATGCTGAGTGATGTCAATTCCAATGATAATTCTCCTTTTGACATTAATGATTTTCCTCAGTTATCTGGGCGACCAAGTTCTGCTGGAGGATCACAAGGACAACTAGGTGAGTAAAGAGGAGCGGTCTTATGTGATTCACAATGCTGTTATCTATTATCTGATCTTTAATTTGCAGGTTCATTACGTAAGCAAGGAGTTGGGGTAAGCTCGATTGTCCAGCAAAGCCAAGAATTTAGCATTCAAAATGAAGATTTTCCTGCTTTACCTGGATTCAAAGGTGCTTTTTCTGGCTTATTGTCTAGCCATTGCAGTTTGCATCCTTGAGGAAGTCCTTTGTTGATAATATGTGTGCACATTTCTGTTTTGTTTTGCTACATATGATTACTGCATTTGGGAAGCAGTACCAAAAGCTACATTCTTTATCTTGTGAGTGCACTCTTTAACACCCAAAAATCACGTAAAGGGGATGTGACGCTAGCTAATTGCTACACCTTCTTACTTCCTACTCATTTGATGGAATAGGTTTCCCCTAGTACCCTGTGTTGACCTTTATGTGGTGGAGGCTTCAATGCATTGGTATTTGTAATCCTGCTTGATGGTCCACTTTGGAGCATTTTTAGGGCCATTTCAGCGATGGTACGTTATTGTTTGTATATATGGACCACCAGTGAAGCCAACTCCTGCCAATCATATTGACAAATTCACTTTCAGTGGTGGTCAGAATTGGTTCAAATATTCTAAATACAAGGAGGAGGAGAAACAACATTGAGAAAAACTTTTGCTGCTCGTTAGTCGTAAGCTTCACCACATGAAGCATCAAAGAACAAGTTTTATGTCAAATAGCAATGCTTCCGACCAAATCATAATAAGTTTCATCTATGTTACCTGGGTGCTTCTATTAGGAAGCCGTACCCTTGCCCGACCCGAACCCACACCCAAACCTCTTGGACACTTATTAAATATATGCATATGTTTATTCAGGCCTATACTCAATTGTATAATACATGGTTTAATTTAAAACACTCCTCATGTGCTTCTTGGATGTATATTCTACACTTCACTTGTGTTTCTTATATATTGATCTTATGTAAATGAAAAAATAATATTGATCTTATGTAAATTATTAATTTTAATACATACATATATACATAACACGCATATATATAGCATTGTCCCCGTACCCTACCTTTTACAGATTTGGTGTGCCCCATACCCATATTCGTACTCACTTAACCTAGAGCTTCATAGATTAGAGCTTTAAGGTACAGGCTTAGCAAATTTTTCTGCTATGCTTCTGGCTGCATTATGGTGCGCTGATCTGTATACTGTAAAATGTATGTCTAGAAGTGTCCATAAGTTTCATAAAGAACATTCATGATACACCTTTCAGGGGTATTCCTAGCCATCATAGATTCATACTACAGACAAAGTGTTTTACTTTGTCAAGATCCTGCCATCAAATTATGTGTGAAGAGTAAAGCTTTTTATGATGGGTATTATAAAGAAGGTCAAGGCCTTCCTAAAGAAAATGTGGTTTAAAATATACAGCCTTTGTTTTCTGGTTGTTTTTTGGCATATTTTGTTAGCAATGAATCAGTTGCGTGATGAGTAGCCAATAATACAAGCGCAATCTAGAGCACTGCCATCGGAGTTGTTGGATTTCCTTCTGCTGATAAGTGGTAACTTAAAAAGGAATAATAACAAAGCAAGTAAAAAGATGGCATACATAAAAGTGGGATAATTTAAAAAAGTGTAAGCAAGTGAAAATGAGTTAGTTTTTCTAGATGTTTCCTAAGCCAAGCAAGACAAACACGTATTTTTGCCAAAAACTTGCAGATTGCTTTGTCTCCGTTCTTTCCTTGAGAACATCCACGTAAAATGGACTTTAACATCCTAATATATTGCTGAGGCCACACACATGTCATGCCAAAATCTGGGGTAGGCCTGCTACATGATTACCTTTTTATGCAAATATACCTTTTAGTATTATTATCATGAAACATGAATTTTTGTGGTTATATGTTCTTATGGAGCTTTGTTTGTTTAACACAAACCATGTACGTCTTTCTAATTACATGAATGGTTAACAATGTATGAACTTTCCATTTCTTTGTTAACTTTCCTTTCTTTGTTATGTGAATGAAAATTATCCACACCTTTGGCATTGATGCCCTCCTTTACTTACTGTTGAATTGTTGTGTAGGTGGCAGTTCAGATTTTTCTATGGATTTGCATCAAAAGGAACAGCTTCATGATAATGTTTCTATGATGCAGTCACAACACTTCCCTGTGAGTTCAAGCTACCATGCAAGACAGTTATCAAATATTGTTCATTTTAAACTCTACCAGTTATTTTGCTGAAGGTTGAGGTTTTGAATTATAATACAGATGGCTAGATCAGCAGGTTTCAGCTTGGGCGGGACTTACCCATCTGGTCGTCAGCAACAGCAACATGGCACCTCAGTTAACAATGCTGGGGTTAGTTTCACACCTGGAAGCAATCAAGATCTTATGCATCTACATGGTTCTGATCTCTTTCCATCTTCCCATGGAAGCTATCATTCTCAGGTACTTTACTCCCTTAATTATTTGAGACTGTAGGTTGTTTCTTGTATCTTACACAACCATGACAGGCAGTAATCAAATTTGTCTTGCTTTAGATTCAAAACACTGGGCATCCTAGTATCGGATTGAGACAGTTGAACTCTACGAATCCTGCCTCTGGTATGGGTGCATATGAGCAGCTAATGCAGTACCAGCACCCGCAAAGCCAGTCACAATTTCGTCTTCAACAGATGTCTGCAGTCAATCAATCATATAGGGATCAGAGTTTGAAGTCTATGCAGGCATCACAAGCAGCTCCCGATCGGTTTGGTTTGTTGGGATTGTTAAGTGTTATCAGGATGAGTGATCCGGATTTGACGTCTCTTGCATTGGGAATAGACTTAACAACCCTAGGGTTGAACTTAAACTCAACAGATAATCTTTACAAGACATTTGGTTCACCTTGGTCTGACGAGCCTGCGAAAGGAGAGCCTGAGTATAGTATTCCGTCCTGTTATTATGCCAAACAACCACCTCCACTACAAGTGAGAATTTGCCAATCTTTTAATAACTTCGGAATTTCTTAATTCCCTTATTAGATTATGCTGATTTTTCTGTTGTTAATGCAGCAAGGGCATTTTGCGAGATTCCAGCTTTCAACTCTGTTTTACATCTTCTACAGGTTTTATTTCCTTTTTTGGATAATCCCTATGATTGCTGCATCTCACACAAGTAGTTTATAAGTTGTTTTCTTTGCTTTCTTGATGCAGCATGCCGAGGGATGAAGCTCAATTGTTTGCTGCACATGAACTGTAATCTCTCTCTCTCTCTCTCTCTCTGTATGTGTATGTGTGTGTGTGTGGTGCATACACTCCCACATGCATGTATGTATCTATGTGCGTGTGTGAAATAAATTCTGTATGTCTTATATTTTCACTTTCCAAATAGATAAGTAGATAGATAAATAGATCATACATCATCTATCCCTTTTCCCCAAAAATACTGGTAGAAGATAGATGGTTTATTCTGAAATGGAGTTGGCTACTGAATGCAACCCTGATGCTGATATATGCTGTACAATAGAGTTGAAATCGTTTCTCTTCGGACAAAAGAGCGACTTCGTGTAGAAAGCCTAACAAGCCAGTTAGGTGATATGAAAAAGGTACCTAGTCCATTATGCAGTTTAAGCTCATGTGATCAGGGAGAATATTCTCCAAATTTCACTTACACCTCCTTTTGTACGCGGGGATCGGATCGAGTGAGAATGAAATGAAGGAACAAAATGGAATTTGTGCGGGAATGGAATACTCATTTCCATTCTTATGTTTGGGTGCGGTTCGAGAATGAAGTGGGAATGGAAATTTTTTTATTTTTTTGATACATGTAATTAATAAGTAATCAAAACATATTTGGTATGGATTTTAATTTTTCATTCCCACTTAAGTGTGAATGCCCATTCCTTACTAACTCAAATGGGAATGCCCATTCCTACAAAAAGTGGATGAGGGAGAAGTGGGAATGAGCGTTCTAGCTTCCACAACGATTTTGTGTTTTGTAAGCATGGATGAGAAGTGGTAATGAGCATCCCATTCACACTCATTCCTGTGTACCAAAAGAGGTGTTTGACTAAAGAGTGTAGAGAAAGGATGAGACTAATACGTCCTTGGTATCATATTGCTTATATTTTCATATTTAGATTGTTTCATAGATTTTATGACTTAATTGGTCACTTACTCCACATATTAGCAAAGGACTCTGTTTTGTCTTTGTAAAAAGATGGCATATTATCTGCACAAGTACATGTACATATGTATAATCAATATATTGTGTGTGGATAAATAGATAGATATACCATTATGAAGCTAGCAGGTTCAACCTAGTTCACTATGAGTTTGAGGCTTTGAGCTCATGCAACCAAGTTCTCTTATACTAAAGAGTTTAGAAGAAGGCTGAGGATGATGTAGTACTTTTTCGAAATCACATTGCTTATAATTTTCACTGATCTGCTAGGCTAAAATAAACAGCATTTTTAGCTGTTTCTACCCTCAAGAAGGACCTCAGTTTTTAACTTTAGCTAAACGTGTTGCAGATATAACAGACACTGGTTTTACCACAAAGAGAACCAGTTATGGTTTTCAAGAATCCCAAATGTTGAGCCCCTTGTCAAGACCCAACAATACGAGAGAGGGGCATATCTATGTTTTGATCCAAACACTTGGGAAACGGTTCGAAAGGTATGCAATTTTTACTTTATATATCCAATTAAATGTATCTGTTGAAAAAAGTTTATGCTTTCTGACATTGGTCCCCAGAATAAGACCCTGCCCCCGTCTCACCCCCACCTACCCAAGAAAAGAAAACACACAGACACTTACGAGGGGTTGAAGGTAATGGATTTTAAGATGAGGGACCCATTTCATATAGCTTATGAGATTTGGGTACTTGTTTTTAAATGTGTGTTTTTGGGGAATTATTTTAAAATGCTTCGGATTTGGGTGATCAATATTTGACAAAAAAGGGGAAAAGTTTGTATGTGCCTAATATTCTAATATGTTGTTTCTTGCAGGAAAATTTTGTGTTGCATTATGACGCAGTGGAGAAGAAACCTGTAATACCTCAGCATTAGTCAACAGTTTTTTCAATGTAAAATTTCATGTCCATTAATTCCAAAAGTAAATTCAGTGTATTGTAATTGCTAGTTTTGTGCTTTATCATTAAGTTGTTCTTTTTCTTATACGAGTTCTTAATTTGGCAACCCACAGATAGACTTGCTCTAGTGTAGTAGTAGAAGTTGATGGCCGAGCAAGGGAACCTCAAGCCTCCCATCCTCATAAAATGTTTACCTATTTCACCGCAAGTTCTTGATGTACATTGGAGATTGCTTCTTCACTCTTAGATTTTCTTTACCAGTGCGGGAGTTTTGTGTAAATAAGACTCGTCAGCCTTTTTCTTTTTTTTCACTTTGATTTGATTCGATTCGAATTACGAGTGAAAAATAGGTTTGTGATTTCCTACAGAAACATGAGCTATGACAATACCAGTGAGTTGGAATCCAAAGGCTAGGCTTGGAGCTTTACATGATGTCGATGCTTGAACTTTGTAACTTTGAAACCGGCAAAGAGAAAACTGTACCTTTTCTTGTGCTTGATTAGCGTACGATGATCGTTTTTCGCGCTGATGGCTGCAAAGATATATTTCCATAATGAGAGGGTCCTTTGATAGTTAATATCAGATGGTTGCAAAGCGACATTTTTGGGCTGATGGTTGCAAAAAAGATAGTTGAGCACTTTTTCTGGTCATTTTTACATTAATCACACTTTTTTAACAGATTTTATTTTAATTTAATTTCCCTATCTACAGACTTCCACCATGTGATGAGATTTGGAAACTTAGGATTGAGCACAAAGTAACAAATTAATTAGCGGTGATTATTATGAGCAGTCAGCCCTGTGAATGACTGTGTGATTATATGTTGTGTGAAGGTTAACAACTTTGATAATTGGCATAAACCCTAAAGTTTTGTCCATCGTAAGATAACGTTAATTTTTTTTTAAAACGTCGCATACCACGAAAATAGTTGTGACAAAACCCTTTCGGAGTTATAAGACAAATTTAAAAGTTTTTGGTGTTATAGTTGTGACAAAACCCTTTCGGTGTTATACGACAAATTTAAAAGTTTATACGACAAATTTAAAAGTTTTTTGATGTTATTTCGTAACGACGCCAAACTTTTGAGAGTTCATGTAAATTATCCATCCTGAGGATGATGCAGATTGCAGCACACAGGCAAATTGAAGACTTTGGTACCGTAACGTGCAGGCAACAGGTCTGAATTAGCCCTGAGATTGTCTTTAGAATTCATATCTAAACTCTTTCTAATAATGGCTATATTTAAAGGGACGTACAAGCGAAAGGTGCTGTGTATGTTAACGTTGAGTTGGAGCGTTTCATGAAAGGTTTTAGAAGATTAAGACATGCATGTGCAAATACGTAAAGATTTTAGATAGATTCATTTAAGGACAAATTTTCAAAATAAACCCAATTAGATATTTATTTTTTTAAAATCGACACCTTTTAAAATTTAATTATCATTTTTGACCTGGCTGAAACCAGGTCGAAAATGGTAAAAAAAGGGATTTAAAATCCTGTGAAGTTTAGTCGAGAAATTACTTATCCTAATCACGAAATAAACCAAGCAATATTGAACTACAACCAAACTTCACGGGATTTTGAAATCCCGTGAAGTTGCAAGGGGTATCTTCCAGAGAGCTTGTATTGAGCTCTCTGTAAAAATGGGCCCGCAACTTCACGGAATTTAAAATCCCGTAAAGTTTAGGTGTATTTGTTCTGTAGCTTCGTTAGCGTGGTTAATCAGGCACTAAACTTCACGGAATTTAAAATCCCGTGAAGTTTTTGAACTTTATCTGCCATGTTCGAAAATGACAATTAAATCTCAAAGGGGTGGTTTTTTGAAAAATAAATTATTAGTAGGGTCTATTTTAAAATTTTATCCTTCATTAAACCATGCATACGTGCATGTACAGGTTTATTTTAGCATTTATCATGAATTTTTTTCACTTTAGCCATCGGTTAGATAGAAGTTGTTGGAAAAAGGGAGAACTCAATGAAAACCTCCAACGTAAAGAAAAAAAAAAAATCGAACCAACCCATGAAAATAACCTCCCTACCCCATCTTTCCTTCAAAGCAAGGGAGCATTAAATTAAATGATCACAATAATCATTTGCTTAAAATAGGATTCCATCTAACCCGTAATTTTCAGTTTACCAGTGAGTGTTTAAGTGAAAAAAGGTGAAAAAAAAAAAAATTACCCAAAACACGACTATTAAAGCCCACGTGGCTGGATATCAGACAAGTCCCCCATCCACTGCCCATTATTCCCACCACCTCCCTTCGACAACGACGACGATGATGGCGGAGAGAGGGAAAAAAACACAAAAATAAAATTGCGAAAACCCCCCCGGGACATTTAAAAAATTACAGAGATAACCAAAAATAGACACAAAATCGGAAAAAAAAGTTTTCTGAACTCCTCTTCTTCTCGCTTTCCCCCAAATTCTCCCAGAATCCGATCGGTCCTCCTCTCCGTCCAAACCCTAACTAGGGTTTCGACCCCAGAAACCCTAACCCTAACCAAATTCGAGCTGAGGGATGGAGAATTGGGGGAGCGATGTCGAGCTCCTAGGGCTGAACCGCTTCGGATCGCGACACGTCGCTCGCGAGATCACCCGCAGCGAAAACCCGTCTGCCTGGGCACGGCGAGAACGATGGTGATCGGTTCTCGAACATCCTCCTTCTTACTGCAGTGGATCGCCGTCAGCTACCTCTACAAGCACGATCACGCCGGCGTCAGGGATTACCTCTGCAATCGTATGTACACTCTCCCCCTCTCCGGCCTCGAGAATTACTTGTTCCAGATCTGTTACATGCTCGTCCACAAGCCTTCGCCGTCGCTGGACAAGTTCGTGATCGATACGTGCTCGAAATCGCTGAGGATCGCGCTGAAAGTGCACTGGTTCTTGATGGCGGAGCTCGAGGATTCCGAGGATAATGAGGGGATTAGTAGGATCCAGGAGAAGTGCCAGATTGCCGCTACTCTGATGGGGGACTGGGCCCCGCTGTTGAGGGCTGGTTTCGGGCAGCAGGGGACCCTTCCTGCGAGCCCGAAGGGGGTTCCCATGCTTAATAGGATACTCTCATCGAAGCAGAAGTTGCTGTCTTTGGCTTCCTCTCCGGCGCACTCGTCGCCCGTTGATGAGAGGTTGTCGAACTCGGAGGAGAATAAGCTTTTGAAGAAGCTGATACCGGGCCCGAAGGTTCGGGATGCGTTGTCGTTTAGGAAGAGTGTGGAGAAGGAAGAGGAGAGTGATAAAGATGGGTTTTTCAAGAAGCTTTTGAGGGATAGTAAGGATAAGGAAGAGGATGACGGGGATAAAAATGGTTTCTTTAAGAGGCTCATTAGAGATAGTAAGGAGAAGGATGAGGAGGATGGTGATAAAGACGGGTTCTTTAAGCGGCTTCGTAGGGATAGCAAGGATGAGGATGATCAGGAGTTGGGTTCGAGCTCGGATGGGTTTTTAAAGAGACTGTTTCGTGATAAAGAGGAGAAGTTGGGAGAAGAATATGAGAAGGATAAGGAAGGGTTTTTTAAGAAGATTTTCAAGGATAAGATGAATGAGGAGGAAGGTAGAGGAAGTAGGAGCTTTGACGAAGACGATAAAGAAAGTTTCTTCCGCCGCAAGTTTTTTAAAGATAAGAATGAGGAGAGGAAAGATGGTGGGCAGGAGAGGGTTGAGGAGCATAAGAGTAATGGGAGCCTTGATGAAGATGAGAAGGAGAGTTTATTGCGTAGAAGATTTAAAGATAAAAATGATGAAAAGAAAGATGGTGGGCATGATAGAACTAATGAGGAAGAAAATAAGGGAGGTAGGAGGAGAATAGAGGACGATGATAAGGATGGTTTCTTCCGCAGGCTTTTCAAGGACAAGAATGATGATAAAAAGGTTATTGGGAATGATAGGAATGAGAAGGAAAAGTGTAATGGCAGCGCTGATGATGCCGACAAGGAAGGGTTCTTCCGTCGGATTTTTAAGGACAAACATGATCAAGATAGGAAAGATGAAGAGCATAGTAAGTGTAATGGAAGTTGTGAAGAAGAGGAAACCCCAGAATTTTTGTCTTTTCGTAGGTTGTTTAGAGTCCATCCTGAAGATGGAAAGACTGCTGGAGTGCATAGTAATCCTGGCAGTCCACTTGATAGCAGTCCAGGAACAGAAAATTTCTTCCGGAGATTGTTTCGTGATCGAGATCGATCTATAGAAGATTCAGAACTCTTTGGTTCAAAGAAAAAGGAGGTAACGCATCTGCCGTATTCAACCGATTTCCTAAGTTTATGTTTGCTTTTATCATAGTGTATTTTATATACAATGACTAAAATAGAATGAAGTTGCTGCAACTTCCAGATTCTTGATTAGTTTTGGACTTACCTTACCTTGTTGCATTCTCATTCTGAGCATGTGGCACAACTAATTGTTTTTCAGAGGCTTCATTGTACATGTTGACTGTGTCAGGTCAAAAATTCACATACACAAGAAAAAATATATGTAGAACTACTATATCTTTGCAATTTTTTGGGTGTTTGGCATGGGTTTTTTTGTGTGTTGGGGGGGGGGGGGGGGAGGCTTGAATGCCTTTATGACCTCTTTTTTGTTATTTTAAGAAAAATTCTAGCATAAATAAGTAAGGAATGGACCATATAAGTATATAACTGAAGACTGTCATGGAAATTTTTTAGTTTGACATTCTATTGCTACATTGTTGCCACAAGTCCCATATTCTTGAGTGGATATTGGGCTTCAGCAATTTAGTTTAATGGCATTGACTCTTAAGTGTTGCAAACTTCTTGAGTAGAAATTTGTACTGTTGATGCTATGGTGGCTGCTGTACTATGGGATAAGTCCGGGATGCAGATATGAGAGTAAGTAGAAAGGGGTGTCATCCACGTGCCGCTGTTGCCATGCAAGATCGGGCAGATGGAGACAAGTACATCAGTCTGAGGGATTAGGTCAAAACAGATGATTCTGCCTTGGGTAAAGGAAGAAACATACCTGTGATTGTCGGAAATCACTAGTGCTCTGTTGTCCTCTGTTTCCTTCTATAATAGGGATATCTCTTCTACTTGTCTTGACTGGAATATGGACTTGGTAACTACTGGTCAAGCTAGAGAATATATTATGCAAGCTTGTTGTACCATTTTGAATGGGAGTCATGAGCGGACTGTTGGGCCTTGAGTAAGGAAAACATGTGAGTCATAATCATATCATCAATAATAGCATTAACAAAGAAAAGGAAAAATATATAAAGAAGCGGTTTCCAAAACTGACAATTCTAAACAAGCAGTTACAAAGATGCAGAATCAGAAATTAATAGACTTTCTGTTGTGACATTATGTATACATATTTTGACTTCATGCCTGCAAACATCTTTCACCTCAAGTTTTACCAGGCTACTCGACTTATATTCAATTTTCGTTATTAACCTGGAAGCTAGGTAGCACGGATAGGGGTGCGGACACAGACACAGACACGGCTATGGGCAGCGGACACGGTAAATTTTGTAAGATGTAGGATATGGGGACACGGTATGTATACACACACATTAGGTCAAATATTGAATTAAAATACCTATAATATCTATATGTTTCTTTCTATTCTGTATAACAATTAAGAATCAAGCTAAATCAAACTGAAAATAAGGTTTGACAACAAAGGCTGAGTTTTGATCACATGGGATAATACAATGTGTATTTTTCAAATATTTAAGTAATAGGTTTAGTTTTCGGGTTAAAAAACCGGTTCGTTTTGAACCCAATATTACCAAAGAAACTAGTTTAGGGTATAAGTAATAAAGAAACCGGCTTTTGCTTTGAACCACACAGGTCTATGCCGTGTCCGTGTCCGACACGTGTCGGACACGGACACGACATAGACCTATGTGGTTCAAAGCAAAACCCGATCGTGTCGGACACGGACGCGGCATAGACCCGTGTGGTTCAAAGCAAAACCCGATTTCTTTATTACTTATACCCTAAACTAGTTTCTTTGGTAATATTGGGTTCAAAACGAATGTAGTCCGACACGTGTCGGACGCGGCATCCAAAATGCCGTGTCCGAGTAACCTAGCCCGGAAGAGGTTAAATTTTGCAGAGGAACTACAAGAGCAGCTATTTAGGTTCACCTACTCATGCCATTATTATGCTTTGCTAGAACAGGCTAATTTTGCAGATGAACTCTGACAGCAGTTATTTAGATACTCTATTCTTTCTGTTTGTTCTTTTTTTTTTAATTTAAAAGTATAGAATACACTCTATTCTCCCGTTTGTATCAAGAAAAACTAGTTACTGTTCACATAACCAACTAACGAGACGTATTGAGATTGATTTTAGTATTGTTATGCCCTAAAACTTACTCCAATCTTTAGAATCTTTAAATGATGCATTGAGTATTTTGCAATTGGAAACATGGAGTGATAGAGATAACCATGGTTGGTGAATGTTGGGAGTATATGAAATAAATTTCCAAAATCATATAGACGATAAAATCATTCTGTTGAGTTTTTGAGAGTTCTTTTAACTGTTTCTTCATGTCTACATTGTTAATGGGAGGGTTGAATCAAATCTAGGTCTATTTTCCATGGCATAATTCTGAACAATTTTGTACATTTTTTTGTCATGTGGCCTTCTTGTGTGGTGGTTTCCATATTCTGTCATGATCAAGTACGGGTCTTGCAATTTTCTTGTATATAGTAGTAGCAAGCATAAAAAATGTTTTAATCTTTATTAATTCTAATTCATTTGTTACTTTATGAATAGCAGTTGCGTCCTGGTACACCAAGACAACAAAACGAAAAAGCATATACAAAGCCACCTTTGCCTAATAATATGATTGCACAAATTCGCAAGTCAACGTATCATGCATCGTTGGAGTTTGTTCAGTCATTGTGTGATACATCATACGGCTTGGTGGATATTTTTCCTGTTCAAGATCGCAAAGTTGCTCTTCGTGAGGTTGCTCTTTGTCCTTTCAGTCAGCTTTAAGTAAAATCTGTTTTGATCTAATAATGTGTCTACTAAATTTGTCATTTTTCTTCAACCAGTCACTTATGGAGATAAATTCACTCCTTGCTGATGCTCAAAAATGTGGAGGTATTCTCTTAAATCTTCTGTATGCTTGCATATTGAATCTTATAGCTATCTACAGGTATGGTACTTGCATATACAATTTAATAACTGTTTAAAAGTAATAATAGCTGCTGTCGCATCTTGGTGCTCTGAAGTTGCCGAACTAGGGGAAATGAGAAGAACTAAGACAAATTATCTTATGTGCTGTGTTTTGCATTTGTTCAGATATTTTCTGGAAAAAATTGTTTGATTGACGGAAAGGAATTTCTTCTTTCCAACAAATACGTTGGTGTTTGGAGGTACATTTTGTCTAATAAATTACTTATTCATGAGTGTGCCTAAGCACATCACATTGTTTGAACGGGAGCTTGGATATATAAGCAAGATCCTTTAGTATGATGGGTCCACTAAATTTGATATGCAAGTATGTTGATGTTGCCTAGATCATTCTTGTAGCAGATGCATGCTATCAGCCTGGTACTGTCACAATCTTCAAACTTGAGTTGCCGGATACATTACATGCAGTTTCTTCAAATATGAGCACTTTACTCTAAAACTCCCTTCATTTTCTTAAAAACTTTTTACTTAAGAACAGTAGGTACAAAAAATTACGAAAGGCTAACAAGGATGTGTTACAAGGAGCTGGGTAAATTCTCTACATTGCCCCTACCTCCTCAACTCCACGCTTTGTATTAGGATAGGCTCAATATGTTGTTCCATGATATTTTTGCCTTTTTTGAAGAGGGTAATTTAAAAACTATTGATTGCATTGATTCTTCTAATCTTTTATTCGTTTTTGGTTATTTGCTTAGGAGTGTGTTTTCCTATGGGAAAAGGAATGTATCGGGTAGTTCATATACCGGAAGACGAAGCTGTCCTTCTGAATTCTAGAGAGAAGGCACCGTACCTGATATGTCTTGAAGTATTGAAGTGTGAATCACCCAGGTATATTGAATGCTTATGATGTGCTTTAAATGGCTTCATTTCCTTTGATGATTGTTAGAATAGCTGGTTTTCTATTTATTGTTGTTGATTCTGCTATGTGTTGTGGTTTTTTTATTTCAAAGCTATATGAGTTGATGAATAAACTCAATCGATTTTTGTTTAAAGCTGGCGCTGATGTAGGCCTTTTTTCATTGTCTTCTTATTCAGTAATACAAAGGCATCATCTGATTCTCAAAAACTCTCAAAGGGAGGCATTCCTCTAGCAAATGGAGATGCACAATTGCCAAAGCCTCCTCCATGGGCTTATCCTCTATGGAACCAACTTGACATAAACCGTATTGAGACAGATAGAATGTTGAGATCCACTTCTCAGGCTATTGATCGAGCAATGGCTCAACTATGGGAGGCCAAAGTAAAATTTGTTAATGTTAGTTTATCTGTTGGGAATCGGTCCCTTGACTGCCCAAAATGCAACGAAGATTCTGAGTCCAGAAGTACCTTCCATACTTCCTCAGATTCACCGCTAGTTCCTAATGACCTGCTCTCCCCAGAAGATGGGCGTGCTCAAGTTAATGTTCTAAGAAACCATGACGATCATGATGTTGAGTGGGTGACTGTTAGTTTATCAGCTGTACCTGGCGTTAAAATGGAAGATGTAGATGACCAAGAACCTCCTCGTCGCAAGGATCATCGTCGCGTCCCAAGCACAATTGCCATGGAGGAAGTAAAGGTGGGCCTATCAATGACAGTAATTTTTATACAAATTGCAATTTCTTCTGGCAGTAAAATTTACTACTAAAGTATTTGAACAATAGCTTTTTGTTTTTGTTTTGGTTATCCAGAATCAGTGGTTTCCAAGTCTTTCTGTTTGTTTAATCAAGCTACTTTTTCTGCATATCTAGTGTTTTCCACATTGATAAACAGCAAACTATGCGCTTTAGATACTTAGTTCACACGTGAAACTGAAAACTATTGATGCTGTCTCAGCTTTGCTACAAATTTTCCTTGGCCAAATATCCATGCTGCACCGAAAGCACTTACCTTGAGATTTCTATACAGGGCTCTTTTCTCTCAGTAGTGGTTCATGTAGACAGTTTTCCATTATTTAGGCCATTTGGTTGTTTTTTTTATTGTTTTGTTTTTTTTTTTTTTGGGGGGGGGGGGGTGTTATAGCTTTTCTTGTAAGTGGAATGAGAATTTGAACTTTACCATATCATCTTGTGTGCTTTCATCTACTCCTTGTTTTAGCTTTTGTTCGCTTACAGGTTCATTCTGATAGAGAGATTATGAGTTAGTTGTAGTGAGTTTATTGTGTAAGGGCGACTCGAGTGTTAGTAGGGCGAGTCGAGCGGCTCGTCCTTTGTTTTGTTGGCGGTAAGGCGGCTAGGTCTTTTTTTATTGAAGACGACCGAAAGGTTGGAGTGCCTAGGACTTGATGAGAGCGCCTAGGCCTTTTTTTAGAAGACGACCGAAAGGTTGGAGTGCCTAGGACTTAATGAGGGCGCCTAGGACTTTTTCGCAAGTGTCAACCCGGATGTTGGGTGCCTAGATCTTAATTAGCCTTTGATCGGAGTTTCTCGTTGGTGTGCTGCCGTGCTGGAGATGATGCACTCGGAGATAACTATTTGGTTTCAGCATGTTACATTTGCTCTCTCACATCCATATTTTCATTGTCTTCGATCAAAATTTTAAATTTATTTCCCTGTAGGCTGCTGCAGCGAAAGGACAGGCACCACCTGGACTTCCTTTGAAAGGAGCGCGGCAGAATTCACCCGATGAACAACCAAAGGTGAAGTGTTTTTTTCCTGCATCTTTTATGACTGTCTGCTGAAGGAAGTTCATAACAGTTAAAAGTGTCATCATTCATATCAGGTACCAAATGGTGGAATTCTTAAACCCACTGATGCCTTATCTGGTGAACTTTGGGAGTTAAAGAAAGAAAGAATACGCAGCTCATCAGCATATGGAAAATTACTCGGTTGGGACTTGCGTTCTGTAAGTAAAATATGTTGTTCTCTCTGGTCAAAATCAATATTAACCGGAACTAGCTGATTTACGGTTATCGGCACTGTCTTGGTGGTGATGATTCCTATTAGTAATTTTTTCTTCAAATTAATGATTGGGCTATGTGGAGTTGTTGACAAACTTCTAGCTTCAGAAGTCATGACAAAAAGCCTATGTTGCTTATGTTCGGGTACGGGTACGGATACCTATATGGGTACGGGTATGGGATACGGTAAATTTGTAAAAGGTTGGGTGTGGGGACATGACAATATAAATATTTATGTACACATATATTATATATTGAAATTAATAATTTATTTGAGAACAAGGATGAGAATTAAAATTCTTATCACATTTTTACATTTCTTTTATTATGTGGATTATAAATTGGAAAATCACTAGTTTTTGAACTAGACACCCATACGCCCCTTCAAAATCATAATTCGAAACCTGACTTATGTTCAACAATGTTCAAGAAGTGGATGTGAAGCTTTGGATATATGTCCAGAAAATGATTAAAACAGTCAGGATGTTTGTTTTATTGGCATACCGTAGGTAGACTGTCATGTTGGTACAAAAGCTCTCTCTCAATTAGACAGTATGTTCCCTTGGAAAGAAAACTTTTCATCGATAGTCAATCAGTGTCTGCGATAGCCAAAGCTAATTTGGTATTCAGGTAGTTTCAGCTGAAACACTCGGCTTTTGGCACCATTTTGTCTGAAACCATTGCCAGGTCCTAGTGGAGACCTAATCTGACAGAACTACTGAAAATCTTGCATGGATTATGCTGCACATACCTTTCAGATGTAGGCATTAATTCTGAATCTCTTTCTTGTTTATTGGTGGAAATTCTTGAGTTCCTTTTGTATGTAGAGTCACGTGGATCCGTGAAATCAGTTATTTTGTGTATTCTCTATTGTCTTTGGAAAAGACTTAACTTTTCAAAAAAATTCATTTGTTGTTCGAATTTTGTAATTAGTGCGAACTTTTGAATTTAGATTTAGATCTTTTTCACCAAATCGTTTTTTTCATAAATTATTTACTGCATATTGTTTTTTGTTGCCCATCAAGGCACTGTGATTTTTTAACTATCTTTAATTTGTAATGAAATTGTGATTCATCTTTTATTTAATATGATAATTGCATGTGATAGTGCTCAGTGTTTTCAAAGGCGCGCGCCTCATTGCGCCTTATGCGCCTTACGATGCGGGGCGGTGGCGAAGCGCCCCACATCTGATGCAGCAGCGCCTTTTGCGCCTCGCGTACATCTGTACTTTGTGTAGGATGCATGTAGTACATTTCTTCATATAGTTTTGTTTGTTAACATTTTAATCGAGTCTTTATACTTGATATTCCATATCCCAAAAAGAAAAATAAATCCAATAGGCTTTTTTAATAACCTTCAATTGAGGACCATTACTAATCCTTAGTTTGGATATGTCTTGATTTAACATTTGATTTGAAAATTTATGAAATTTGCTACTATGTTGGGTGTTAGCATTAGAAATTAAGGCAATATATTGTAAGTTTGTAGCAAGATATTATTTATCATGATATTTTTCATGTAAATTCTAAAAACATGTTCTTTCGCGCTTGATTACATATATTGAAATATTATGTGTGTGGTGTGCGCCTCGCATCACTCAGGCGCGCGCATAGCGTTACGCCTTGCGCATGTGCGCGTAAAGATGTTTTGCGCGCCGTATTGCGCCTCGCGCATTGAAAACACTGATAGTGCTACAGTTATGGTATCTGCCATTTCCTATCTGTAACCTGGGCCTCTTTAGAGCTTATATGTCTCTGTTCATCCTCATTAAACTGCAGACAGTTCTGCATATATTGTGTATTAACTCTACTATGTTTCTGCTTTAAATAATTATTTTCATAGTACTTTGGAGATGTATGAAATATTCCCAAAACCCAACACGGGACAATGAAAAATCCGGACTTGTAGTGTCTTTCATATTGATTTGTTGGCGTTGTAAGTACATTGTTCAATTTAACTGAATTGTCAAATCCACCTTCGTTAGATCTTTGAGACTTGTGTTTAAACAAAGTGCATTTTCTTTTGGGGCGTGTTGTATGGTTATTTTAAAATAAATTTACGTCATGCTACTTCATGCACCTTTTTTAAACTGAAAATTCTACAAGGAAGGTAGTGATAATAGGAACTCATTTGGTTGATGAACGTAAGAACAGTCGCCTGAATGTTGGTTGAAGTATTAATAAGTTAAGGATATCTAGTGCAACTTGAGGTAGTTAATGTTCTGAAGGATGATGACCTTAACATATAATTATAGTCTGGACCCAGAAGAAATGTTCACTAGATCTTCATTCTATGCTGTTGTAGAATTAGTGATAACTGAGTTTTTTTACAGTGGTTGATTTGTTTTTAGTGAACATCTGAGGTTTTCCCCCCAGTAGTTGCATGCCTTGTTTTTTCTTCATTATGATTGATAATGTTGACAGATTGCTTTGAGTTGGTACTAGATATGCCATGACAATATTAATTTTGGGCTAGTTGAGTGATTGTTACCTAGTGCATAGTGAAATATGTCGATGACAACAGCAATGGAAGCATGCAAGTTGTTACTTGTTTGACATATTAGTTTACAGTGTAATACCTTGGTGCCATCTTCCTTAGTACAAATTTGTTGGTATCGTTTATATTTGACAGTGAATGTCTAGATGGTAGGTGTGATTCTTGCAAATTATTATCTGTTTCGTGCTAAAAGCTGTATCTTTTACACAAATATTTAAGCTTAAACGTTAATGGATAACACCCCATTCATGAATCTGTCTCACCTCATGTGATGAGTCTTCTGTTAGATTATTTCCTATGGCTGCTACTGTCCAAGAGAAGTCATATTGTATGATTTGTATGTAAATCCAAAGACTGGATCTAACCTCACTATTGTATGTTGATAGAGACTTCTAACTGATAAAATTTACCTTTCAAAAAGTCCAAACAGTGTCTACCATATGCTTTTACGTCTCGTAACATGTGTAATGTTGTATCAAATATTTATGTCATAGTCACTCTCAATTGAATGTTTATTTAGTGAAGCTCCTTAGGCATGTTATTTACCCGCAGTTCATTGTCAAGAGTGGTGATGATTGTCGACAAGAGCATCTAGCTGTACAACTGGTTGCTCAATTCTATGGTAAGGATCTATCTGTCTTCCTTGTTTTAGTTATCCATATTATTTATTGTATTCCTACTTTCGTGCTTCTTCCTCATTGACAATCCTTTTCTATGGTCAGCTATTTTCCCCCGACTTGTAACTACTATTTCTATTTTGCAAAAAAAATTCTCAGATATATATCAAGAAGCTGGTCTCCCCCTTTGGTTGCGTCCTTATGAGATTCTTGTCACTTCTTCTTATACCGCCCTTATTGAAACCATACCTGACACGGTGATTTTCATTCCTTTGCTATCCTGAGCAAAATTCTTATCCCCTTAGCTTGCATTGACTTATCGTTTCTTTTTTTTTTCCAGGCCTCAATCCATGCTATAAAGAGCAGGTTTCCTAATATCTCAAGTTTGCGTGATTACTTTATATCCAAATATGAAGAAAACTCCCCAAGTTTTAAGCTTGCCCAGGTAATGTTCTCATAGGTCTACAAGAGTTGGTGTGGCATTATTCAGCATTTACAAATTGATATTCTTCTTCATTGATACGTCGTTTCTTGCAGTTTATTTGTGTTTTACATGTCGGTACTGCTCTCAGTTTTTGGAACATAACTTGCATTGCGTGTAATATAGTTATTGAATCCTAATATTATAAGCTTAAGACTTTTACTGGATCAGGAAGTTGCTTCGATTATGATTCTCATATATGCGAAACTTAGCGATGAGCCGATGAGACATTTAGATCTGATACAGAGGAAGGTGCTATGCCTTTTCATAGCCTTGCATGCGGTATTTTAGTCATTTCTCCTCTAGCAATAAGCTGTGAAGGGGACTGCAACTCCACTTCACAAAGTACACAAGGATAGTGAGAGAAGATATTTTTTATTGTAGTGAGACTGGGTTTGGGTTTATTTTGCCCGGTCTATTTGATTTGGCTCAAGAGGACAAAGTGCAAATGCATTTCAGGGTGGCAGGACAAATTAGAAGCGCACTTGAGGCACCTCCCACCCACCTTAGTTTTGCCTTTTCTATGAATTTATTTTGTTGTTTATTTGTATAACAACATAACGTGCACTACTAACCTCTTTAAGTCACTGCAGAGAAATTTTGTCGAGAGCATGGCTGGATATTCCATCTTATGCTACCTTCTACAGGTATGACAACCTGGTCACATCCTTCATTATTTGAACTCTACTGTTGGCGATATGAACAGTTCATATACCATCGTGATTATATTGGTCGTAGAAGGTCTCACTAGTATATTCTTTATTTTACATTTTCTTGCTGCCCCACTTCTCCTCTTCCCCTAACCAAAGAGAAAAAGGAAACAACCACCATTCCTCTTTCTCAATTTATTTCAAGTTTATTCTCATCATCGCTTTGAATTTCATTACATATGTGCATTCAATTTTATTAATGTCAAGACATGCTCTTTCATAAGCATCACAAATAGTCATTCTTTTTCTCAAACTATTAGCAACTCTGTTTTGTTCGTTGATGCTCAAAATATGACGTCAAAACATTTTTATTGTTTGATATTTCATCATGGTGAGGTCCTTAAGCTTACCCAGCGAGTTGATTGTTCTTTCACTATTACCATTTGTAGATAGCAAGCACCCTCTAGACCAAATTATGCATTGTTGCTAGTATGATGCTTTGCCATCAATAATAAGTGTAACTTTCAATGATATATTTTAAGTGATTTCACATCTTTCGTGAGTTATCAGTTGTCCTAGTGACGTGAATTATATAGCTGTTGTGACTAATTAGCAGGAAACTATCTTAAAAAGTTGAAACATGGTTTTCCTTGTTTTATTACTAAGAAACTCATAATTTATTTTGAAAAACAATGAAGTCACATATGAAGAAGGAATGGTAAATAACATTGTCATGTTTTAATTTTAATTCTTATGATATAGCATGTCTTTCATTGTTTTATGGCTGGATATATCTGTAACATTTAGTAAAATTTACATTTTAAGCGAATAAGATGATTAATTCATTACTCCAAGTTTCACTTCTTGAAATTTTGAAGCATGTTAGAATCTGAACCCTATACTGGAGCCTTTGCCTCCTTATCAAGCATAGGTGGTGATAAGCAAAATCTGCAAGCGCACAGACTCATTGTAGCTATTAAGGTCGATCCCACAGGGAGTAGGGTTAATTACCAAATCTCACGTTATTCGACTAGCTAAACTAATGAGTAAATTAGAAGAGATTAAAATTAGGGTTAATTACCAAATCTCACGTTATTCGACTAGCTAAACTAATGAGTAAATTAGAAGAGATTAAAATCAAAAGAAATAAAATAAATAGCTAATTTTCGACTAGCTAAACTAATGAGTAAATTAGAAGAGATTAAAATCAAAAGAAATAAAATAAATAGCTAATTAGGTAGAATTCAATATAATGAAGAGTCAGGATTGGGTTATCACCACAACTTCGATGCTCAATGATGAATTATTTCAGTTCTCGGTGATGGTTTAAACTAAAAAGGGTGAATTAGCCTAAATTAATCTAAAGCCCCTTTCAAGGTCTAAAGATCGTGCCTAATTAATCTCAATTAACCTATTTTCATGGAATCAAGATTAAATTAAACTCATTAAGCTTCATGCTAATCCAATTCAAATCTCCAAGGAATCTAGCCTACTTTCGTGGTTCGAGCTCCCTGCTTAATTTCTAGAGATCCGGTATTAATCTTCACCTTTCAGTCCTTCAATTAATTATTTATGATTGCTAATACGGTGATCAAGCGAATCAACAAAATTAAAACACTAGAAATCAAATTTAAAGATTTAAACTTTCACCAAGAACCTATATCAATTCATCATTAATCACCAAAAAGTTGGGTTCTTTCACAATCCTAGACAAGAAATCTACTCACACATGATTGGGATAAGAGAATACATCAAATAATTATGCAAATCAATACATGATTGGGATAAGAGAATACATCAAATAATTATGCAAATCAATCATAAGAAGAAATAAATCAAAGAGAGGAAAGAATTAACCCGTCTTTCAATTGAAATCTCCAAAATTAAAACTTGCAATCCAATCTTATACAAGAAATTAATGTCTTTCTTCAATACTTGAACTCCAAAAAAATTGCTAATTGACGGCTAAGAGAACATAACAAAAGATATCCAAACCCTAAGCCAAAATATCTATTTATATGTCCCTAAAAAAATCTGAAAAAAGATAAGATCCGCGCCATGGGTGTGGCGCGCACCACACCAGGGTGTGGTGGAATCTGTTTTTGCTGATTTTGTGCTTGTTTGTTTAGTTTTCGGTATTTCGGCTATAACTTTTGCGTCCGATCTCGGAATGAGGTGATTCAAGTTACATTGGAAACCTGTTGAAGAGATCTACAACTTTTATCTTTTGAGTTTTTCTGAATTCAAATTGTATCATGGTCGAAATTCCAGTTCTTCATACTCGTGCATCCATTTTCTTCATGAACCATGCATTCGAAATCTGGTTGTTGCTTCAAACTCTTGTTCAACTTCCAATGATCATTAAATCTTTCAATCTTGAGCTAATACCTACATATAAGAACACAAACCACAGCAGTATCCTCGATCTAAACACGAAATATGCATTAAACACTCGTAAATCGTACATGAAACACACTAAGATAATGCATATTTTACGTGTTTATCAACTCCCCCAAGCTTAGACTTTTGCTTGTCCTCAAGCAAATAAACAATAAAAATTAAGAGGAGTGAAAGCCAAATAGAGTAGGGATCACCCCCTCATCAATCCTTTAACCAATATCAAACATATCACAAAACAAATACGTTTCATCGGGACTTAACAAATTAGTTTCCAAAACTCTCAACAAAATCACATTTTTAAATTTATTTACGATCACAACCGTCACAAGTCAAGGATATCCATCCTATCCAATTCTCAAGTTAAAGTAGGAAAAAGAAATTCATGTAACTAGCTTCAATCCCCAAGTACTAAAATTGAGACCTTCAGGTAGTTAAATTGCTAGACCTCACTTTAGGATAAGTGGACTCTCAATCTCTCATGTGTTTAAGGATGAGATTGCATCGCTCAAAATTCTTCCGAATGGATGTATTCAATCCATGAGCTTGCATTTCATCTCAATTCTCCACCACTTCGAAAACTAATGCATGCAACAAAATCATGAGGTCTTTTATTTGGTTGTAATGGGGCTAGGGTCAAAAGGGTAGGATGGATATTTGGGATTGGTTGAAAGCCTATCACTAGTGGAGCTATGATTGCAAAAGATTAGATCTCAAAGTAAGATCAATGACATCTACACAAACTCCATCATCTATTAAAGAACTTCTTCCAACTACTCCTTTTAGTATGTCGTAATGAATTATTTCGACACCTGCAATTACATTCACCATAAAGAGGACATTTTATTCTCTCCTTTTTTTGAATGAATTATGAAAAGGAAGCAAACACCTACTTTCACAACCCGAAGCTTACACCACATTACTCACATAACCCATTATATCATAAAATGTGCTCCACTAGCTTAGGCAATGGGTAAGGAATAAAATCAGGTTTTGAAAATTACATGTGTGTTAAATTAATAAAAATTAGGCTCATAAGCTCAAGGGGGCTAATCAAAGGGAACAATAGTGCATGGTAGGCTATTTGGCTAATGTGGACTATAAACAAAAATGTGCCTCAATCACCTTTTATGCATACAAAAGTTATATGTAGCCTTGAAGAGATTCAATGCAAGTTCTAGTATCCTACACCATTGGAGAATATCACACAAGCAAAGAAAATAATGATTGGATATGCAATGCATCCAATTTCAGGCTCAAAATCTCACGGGTTTTATTTGTCTACCAAATTTAATTCCCCTCTTGTCTCAATAGAGTAATGGTTATGACGCTAGCCACATAAATGCTAAATCCTATAAGTCTGGTTCTCCCATATTGTTAACTTGTAATCAAAAGCCTTTGAGAATCAGTTGAAAGATGGTTTAAGAAGTTGTCAAGTCCCGACTAATGAGCATCTATCTAGTTCAATGATCGATAAAGGTTAATGATTCATGTCATCATCAGAAGATCATTTCCCTATTTTGTTTTTGTTTTTTTTTGTTTTTTGTTTTTTGTTTTTAGAGAAGAAACAAAGCAAAAGAAAAACTAAAATAAAAGAAAAATATGCAATTATAGACAGGCAACCAATGAATGAATAACCCACACCCCCAAGCTTAAGATCTATATTGTCCTCAATGTAATAAGATAGAAATCAGTGCAAGGGTGCAGAGGACATACCAACTCACTGGTCAGAAGGGGGCGGCGCGAAGACATCCTGTCGGAGCTGCCGCTCGTGAAAAGACTGCATCATGTAGTGTATAGAGTACAGTAGTTATCCTTGACGATGTTGCTCTTGCTCGATGGCACCTACACGGTTAGTAAGGGAGGCAAGAGAAATATGGATAGCTGATAATTCCGCTAACCAATCAGGGTGATGGAAAGAGTTAGTTTCCCTGGTAGGCTCAGCCTGAATAGGGATCGGGGGTACCGTGTCAGTATCCTCAGCTGGTACAACCTCATGACCATCACAATTCACAAAATAAGATGTGAGGTAGGACCAATTAGCGTGAACATGGATGGTCGTGCGATCAGGATCAGGGAGTGAGAAAAGATAATTGTCCTGAAAACATAACCATAACCTATTGTCATTATTACTAATCAATTTCATATGTAGACAAACATCGAGGTTAATGGACGTATTAGGGCTTAATGGATGAAGACCTTTTACAAGCTCCCCTAAACCCATCCCATAGGCTAAAGTGGTAATCAAGCCACCTAACACAATTTTTCCACTTGTTGCTCTCGCTGCACGACACATATGATGAATCATAAAAGCTCCTGTGTCAACCTTATGTCCCTCAACTATAGCACATAAAAGGTAGAGCTCTCTCTGACACATGACTCCTTCACCCTCGCCTCGATCAAAAATGGTGAAAGCCATGAACCTCTGTAAATATCTAAAGCATGGGTTATAAACAACAGAGGCTCGTGACAAAGAGGGATCATAAGTTCTTTGAGTGGTAGAGCATGCGATTGAAGTCCAAAAAGGGGTTAAGTTAAAATTTTTAAGGACAATTCTAGCCCCACCCTCCGGAAAACCAAATATCTGATTTAATTGTGCT